GAGAGCCAGACCAAAGCTCAGAGGTGAGATGACCATCTCTAACTGTCCATGACTCTTCTCCATGTCACAGCTCAGCACTCACATCACTGCTCCATCATTATTCACAGGAACCAACCTGGAGCTGAACCCAGCTGTGTGTCCTTAAAGAGTGACACGTCAAAGGATCTTCATATTAGTTTTAGAGAAAGACATTTATCTGACACAGAGTAAGTATGTCTCAGTATTAAAATGGGGCAAATTGTTGAATACAATAATTTGAATTTTGGATGATTTATTATATCTACTGTAGTTTGCTCCATCATATTCATCGTGTTTGTAATTTGTTTTCTTCTAGTTTATACAAAACTATTTTAGTTTCACAATTATTTACAGAATTTAAAACTTAACCCTAAAGTGTGCTTTGGGTTTTTTTCTCTGTCAGGATGAACCAGAAGCCTGAACACAGCTGTGTGTCCTTAAAAAGTGACATGTCAAAGGATTTTAATCCTTATTTTAAAGAAAGTACTTCTACTGCAGAGAGGTAATGTGTCACTAAATGTTCTTACTGACTTAGGTTGAACTGTTTTTTCTGAAAAAAATTTCCAACATGTTTAATGTCACAGCTCAGCTCCTTTTCACACACTTTTATGTTCATATATAAAGCTGTGTGTTTCTGAGTTATGTTTTTTCCCTTAAACACAGCAGTCAAAGATTGAAGAATTAATATTTTTTTTGATGCATTTCTTTTTTCTTTCTTTTTTTTTTGATGCATTTCTACTGTGAAGAAGCTAAGTGTCCGTTTTACATATTGTATTAACATAATTGACCTAAAATCATGCATAAGATCTGGGAATAATGTTCACAAAGTTCTTTATCTCATGAGGTGTACTTCACAAAAGAGTAGGGTATTGTTTTGGCTTTAAAAAATTTAAAATTTAAAAATGTAATGTAAAAACAAAAATAAACAAAATCCAAAAATAAAACTCCTCATACTTCTCATCTGATCTGATCTTCTCAGAGACAAGGATCTCCATTTTACGAAACACCAAGAGAAACATCAAAACATCTGTTGTGTCCTTTAGCTTGTATTTATCTCTGTGTGGAAAGTCATAATGTGAACTAATTCTTCATGATTCTTCATAGAGTGGACCATGAGAGTTCAAAGGTTCCCAGTGGTCAACCTGCCAAGCAGCATCAAGCACATTTGGACTCTGTATTTATGGTCTGTACATGTAGAACAACTGCTCTTACATCTGTTCTGTTCACTGTGATCTCCATACTGCACTTTTACTTTTGATGGATCTGAGGTTTTGTTCAATGATTTCAGTCTGGATGGATTATTCATATCGTCTTCTGTTCTAGCTGCTGGAGGACAACATCATGACTTTTGTGAAGAATGAGCTGAAGAAGATCCAGAAGACTCTGAGTTCAGATTACGCAGAATGCTTAGGGAGCCAGAAAGAGGATGAGGGGGTCTTAGAGGATGAAGATAAAGAGGAGACCAGGAACAACAGACAAGCATTTGTGAAAATAATACTGCACTTCCTGAGGAAACTGAAGCAGGAGGAACTGGCTGACTGTCTGGAGAGCAGTAAGAGGATGTCTTTAAAGATTTAACTCTCTAAAAACGGCTGGAGCGGGCACGCTCCGTTTTGCGTAACTATTTTTAAATCTCTGTAGAACTGGAACCACATAAGGTAGTGCAATTTTTTTTTTTTTTTGCATATGAAACCGGAGGAGTTGTACTTACATGTTATGCCATTAGCTAGTCCTAGGTCACGGTTTCCTTCCCCATATAGCTTTGCAAAAACTGCATAAAAAGCGCTTGCAGCAACAAAAACATAATATTCCAGAAACATGCTTTGCCGATCCGATCAGCTGTTCGCAACACTTCCTAGGTTGGAATAGACATCAGAGTGAACTATCGTATGTCTGCCATTACCTGGCCAAAACCGGAAGTGACATCATTTTCATGGAAAATGTAGGGGTTTTTTTTTGTTTGTTTTTTTTTTTACCTTCAGGGCCTTATAAGCCTATACTGGTGTTTTTAAAAGTCATATTTGACTTTATAACTTTCTGTGTCGTTTCTGGGATGCTTAGAACTCAAATTGCACTGCTGGAAATAGTTTATTTTGATGCATATGCTGTTTGTTTTGCAAATTTGCATTATAATATTTATTTTCGTTTTTCCTGCAGTATATAAAAATATGTGTATCTCAAAAATGAAACTATGAAGACACTCAACATAAACTTCCTTTGGTTGGAAACTATTTTGTGCAACTTTTTTGTATTTACAGTTTTGAGGAATAAACCTCTTAAATTTCTCTAACTAGAAATATATGTAAAAGAAAAATCTTTTCTTTTCTAAGTGCAATAAACTACAAATCTTCTTTTGTAGTTTATTGCACTTTTTTGCAATTTATGTAGTTTCTATGGACTTAATGCATACATATGACTAAAATTTGGGCTATAACGGTTGTATTTATGTATAGCAACTTGAAATGCTCCCAAAAATGGCACTACAGCATGTAAAAATATAAAGATAAGCTGTTGCGGACTTGGTGTCTTAAGGGGTTAAGCTGCTGCATAAATGGGAAATTGAATGATAAATTAAAATATGCACCAACATAGATTCAAAAACCTATATTGGGGGGGACGAAAGATGTAGGTGTATTTACTGGATAATAATTCCATCATTAAATGTATTTGTGTGTTTTCAGAAATATTTGATCCCGATTTTCGACATGAACTCAAATCTTTGCTGAAGAAGAAGTTCCAGTGTGTGTTTGAGGGGATTGCTAAAGCAGGAAAGCCAACCCTTCTAAATCAGATCTACACAGAGCTCCACATCACAGAGGGAGGGAGTGCAGAAGTCAATGATGAACATGAGGTCAGACAGATTGAAACAGCATCCAGGAAACAATACAGACCAGAAACAAGAATCAGACCAGAAGAATTAACAATCAGTCCAGAAGACATCTTTAAAGCCTTACCTGGAATAGATAAACCAATCAGAACAGTGCTGACAAAAGGAGTGGCTGGCATTGGGAAAACAGTCTTGACACAGAAATTCTGTCTGGACTGGGCTGAAGGCAAAGCCAACCAGGATATCCAGTTCATATTTCCATTCACTTTCAGAGAGCTGAATGTGCTGAAAGAGGAAAAGTTCAGCTTGGTGGAACTTGTTCATCACTTCTTTACTAAAACTAAAGAATCAGGAATCTGCAGGCTGGAAGACTTCCAGGTTGTGTTCATTCTTGATGGTCTGGATGAGTGCCAACTTAGTTTGGACTTCAACAAATCTGAAATCTTAACTGACCCTAGAAAGTCCGACTCAGTGGACGTGCTATTGATAAACCTCATCAGGGGGAATCTTATTCCCTCTGCTCGCCTCTGGATAACCACACGACCTGCCGCAACCAATCAGATCCCTCTCTGTTGTTTTGACGTGGTGACAGAGATCAGGGGGTTTAATGACCCACAGAAAGAGGAGTACTTTAGGAAGAGATTCAGAGATGAACAGAAGGCCAGCAGGATATTCTCCCATATCAAGACATCACGAAGCCTCTACATCATGTGCCACATCCCAGTCTTTTGCTGGATCACTGCTACAGTTCTGGAGAATGTGCTGAAAACCAAAGAGAAAGGACCCCTGCCCAAGACCCTGACTGAGATGTACATTCACTTCCTGGTAGTTCAGGCCAAAGTCAAGAGGATCAAATATGATGGAGGAACTGAGACAGATCCACACTGGAGTCCAGAGAGCAGGAAGATGGTTGAGTCTCTGGGAAAACTGGCTTTTGATCAGCTGCAGAAAGGAAACCTGATCTTCTATGAATCAGAACTGACAGAGTGTGGCATCGATATCAGAGTAGCCTCAGTGTACTCTGGAGTGTTCACACAGATCTTTAAAGAGGAGAGAGGACTGTACCAGGACAAGGTGTTCTGCTTTGTTCATCTGAGTGTTCAGGAGTTTCTGGCTGCTCTTCATGTCCATCTGACCTTCATCAACTCCGGAGTCAATCTGCTAAAAGAACAAGACATAGCTTATCAGAACTCAACAAGAGAATCTGCAGAGACTCATTTGTACAAGTGTGCTGTGAACGTGGCTTTAAAAAGTCCAAATGGTCACCTGGACTTGTTCCTCCGCTTCCTTCTGGGTCTTTCAGTGCAGACCAATCAGACTCTCCTACAAGGCCTGGCGCAGACAGGAAATAGGTCACAGACTATCCAGAAAACAGTCCAATATATCAAGAACAAGCTCAGTGATAATCTGTCAGCAGAGAAAAATATCAACTTGTTCCACTGTTTGAATGAACTGAACGATCATTCTCTAGTGGAGGAGATCCAACAGTTCCTGAGTTCAGGAAGTCTCTCCACAGATGAACTGTCTCCTGCTCAGTGGTCAGCTCTGGTCTTCATCTTACTGTCATCAGAAAAAGATCTGGATGTGTTTGACCTGAAGAAATACTCTGCTTCAGAGGAGGCTCTTCTGAGGTTCCTGCCAGTAGTTAAAACTTCCAGTAAAGCTCTGTAAGTTATAAGTTTTATGCTCGAAAGACACTGCTATCACTTTAACAGGGGAAAAAAATGACACATATTATTTCATTTATGTCCCATCAGGTTGAGCAGCTGTAACCTCTCAGTGAAAAGCTGTGAAGCTCTCACCTCAGTTCACAGTTTTCAGTCCTCAAATTTGACAGAGCTGGACCTGAGTAACAATGACCTGAGAGATTCAGGGGTGAAAAAATTGTCTTCTGGACTGACAATTTTACACCTACAACTAAAAACGCTCAGGTTAGGCTTATAAAAATAATTTAAAATGTGTTTTTAACCCTAGGTTAGTTAAGAAAAAGAAAGCAAACCATAAAAAAATAAAATAAGTGAAATAAAAAAATGTATGTTTTAATAATCTGGGATTTTTTTGTGTCATTGACTGACACTCAAGTTTAATTACCAAAATAAAAATTGTACATAGTACTTAAAATTTTAAGGTATATGTAGTCTTTTAGACAGTTTTTATTTTAGACAACTGATGTTTAATTTCCTGCAATATATGATTTTTTTTTTAATTTTCTTTTATTTGATAGTGTTGTTAAAAGCATGCAAGTCAATTGTCTTATAAATGTGCAAATTTGTATTACTCATGTTGTCTGTGAAGGTTCTCAATCATCCAGATCATCGTAGTCTAAGTAGCTTGGAAAGAGAAGCATCTGGACTTCTTTAAGTTGCTTGAAGACTTTTTACCTCTCATCCGAGAAGCTTCTTCAGAACTGAAGAAGTGTCTCATAGTAAAGTGGTGCACATTCCTTTCCAAGCTCCTTAGTACTAAATGAAATATCAGGAAATATTCAAAAGCTTTTTCCCAAATGAACTTGCAAAGACTGTAAAACAGGTAAAGACTACAGGCCATTCAATCCTTTTGCAACCGTTGCAAGAGCTTGGTCTGCATAGCCAGCAATAGGTTGGACTCATTTCCGGTGTGTGATGGACTCTGCCAGGACTGCCCTTTGCGACCGATTCTGTTTTATCTACACAGTTTCTAGGCATAGCCAAGTGGTTGAACGCTTTCCATTGGGTGGCCTGAGAATCTAATCTCTGCTTTTCGCAGATGATATGGTTCTTTTGGCTTCATCAAGTGATGGCCTCCAGCTCACACAGTAATGGTTTGTGTTTTGTGTGAAGCGGTGGGAATGAGAATCAGAACCTCCAAATCTGAGGCCATGGTCAGCAGCTGGAAAAGGGTAGCATGCCCAGGGTGGCAGGGACAAGTTCCTGCCCCAGGTGGAGGAGTTTAGGTATTTTGGGACCTTGTTCACAAGTAATGGGAGAAGGAAGCTGGAGATCAACAGATGGATTGGCGTTGCGGCTTCAGTGATGCGGAAGCTGTACTCGTCTGTAGTGGTGAAGAGAAAGCTGAGTTTAAAAGAAAAGTTTACCAATTTACCGGTCCATCTACACCCCTACCCTCACCCATGGTCACGAGCTGTGGGTCGTGACTGAAAGAACGAGATCGCTGATACAATCGGTGGAAATGAGCTTTCTCTGAAGGGTGGCTGGCCTTTCCCTTCGAGATGGGGTGAGAAGTATGGCCATCTGGGAGGGGTTCAGAGTAGAGCCGCTGCTTCTCCACATCGAAAGGAACCAGTTGAGGTGGTTTGGGCATCTGACAAGGATGCCTCCTGGGTGAGGTGTTCTGGGCATGTCCCACCAGGAGGAGCCCCTGGGGTAGACCCAGGACACACCGGAGAGATTATATCTTTAGGCTGGCATAGGAATGCCTTGGTATTCCCCCCGGACAAGCTAGAGGAGGTGACCGGGGAGAGGGAAATCTGGTCTTCTCTGCTTGGGTTGCTGCCCCCAAAATTACATGCACTATGGCCGTTTCAGCCAACAGAAAACAAGTTAAAAATGTCTTTTCTTTTTACTTTCAATTATAGCTAATTAAATTTGTTTTTGGTAACTCAATATATCTAGTATTTACTTCCAAAACCCAACCCAACACCTCCAGTATAATTTTATTTCCCAAGGGAAATGTAATCTTTGCATTAATTGGTTTCTCTAACACTTTCTGAATGATCTCTGCAGGCTGTCTGGCTGTCTGATCACACAAGAAGGTTGTTCTTCTCTGGCATCAAGTCTGCACTCTAGGGGCTCCCATCTGAGAGAGCTGGACATGAGCTACAATCATCCAGGGAGAGCAGGCGTGACTCTACTGAAGAATCTGAAACTTGAAACTCTTAGGTATGGAGAGGCCTGTGCAGCCATAGAGAGCGCGTGATAGAGGAGCTGAATAGTTTTCAGTTCTTCACTCTGTTCCTGTGTGATTATTCAAATAACACATATTCAAAATAAAGCAATAACACATACTCAAGCTTTTAAAATTGCACACAACAGAAACTCTGTTGAGCAGAAATAAAACAAATTTCTTAAGAAGTTCTCCAAAAAAACCCCACCATTTTCAAGAACATCAGCGGTTAAACCCTTACCAAACTGATCTGTGCAAATGAAAAATCTTTAATTGTTACTTTCTGACTGTGAATCAGATAAGTTTAACCTCTGTACCGAGATCAGTTCACAACATGTTTAGCACAACAACTAGATACAAGAGGAAGCTAATAGCCTAGCTCTATAAACACTGGAATTAATTGTAATAACAACAATTTTGGCCTCATTTCGCAACCACAAGCCAAATAAGTTATTTAATGAAGAAGTCTTCAATCACAAGTCAATGAGCATATGATTTTAAAGTCTGACATTCCAGTCCCCCCCCCCCCCTCTTTCAGGGTGGAGCCTGCTGGAGAACATTGGTTGAGACCAGGTCTGAGGAAGTGTAAGTGTGTTTTTAATGTGATTCATGAAAACAAAGCAGCACACATTTAACCATCTTCAAACTGTCACATCATTTATTCACATCTCAGATGTCAGAAGTCATCTTCAAAGTGTTGATCAATGAACACATGATGGATCAATAACTGCAGCTGGATTGTGTTTGTTCTCTCTATCAGATTCCTGTCAACTCACAATCGACACAAACACTGTAAATAGAAATCTCAAACTGTCTGACAAAGACAGGAAGGTGACACGTGTGGAGGAATTTCAGTCATATCCTGATCATCCAGACAGATTTAATGATGGGTATCCTCAGCTGTTGTGTAAAAATGATCTGATTGGTCGTTGTTACTGGGAGGTTGAATGGAGAGAACTGGCTGAGATATCAGTGAGTTACAGAAAAATTGTAAGGAAAGGAGACAGTAATGACTGTTTGTTTGGAAGGAATGATCATTCATGGAGTCTGTACTGCTCTCATGACTATGGATTTGATGTTTATCACAATAAGAAAAAAACATGCATCTCCTCCTATTCCTCCTCTTCCTCTGTCTCTAACAGAGTAGCAGTGTATGTGGACTGTCCTGCTGGCACTCTGTCCTTCTACAGAGTCTCCTCTGACACTCTGATCCACCTCCACACCTTCAACACCACATTCACTGAACCTCTTTATGCTGGATTTGGGTTATGGTTTGGTCAGTCTGGTGCTTCAGTGACTCTGTGCTGAGTTGAGTGTAAAGAGTTTCCTCCTGTTAGAGAAACACTCTGACTGTTGAAGAGATAGTTCAGTCTGTACATGTCTGTCTCTTTCACTCAGAAACACATTTTCAGATTTGTGCATTCAATCAGTTATTGTTTAAACTGTACTAAATGATTCCTTTTAAAGTTCCTCTTCAGTCCTTCAAAGATGGAAGCTACGATTATTCCAGGATCCACGTGTTGTTTTTCTTTTTCCACTCAAAGCTGCACAGTGAATATCAGTATGCTGTTTTTCTTTTAAGCTCAGGTCAGCTGAGATGATTCAGTTCATTTTAGTTGCAGTTAGTTTGTTGCAGATGAGACAAACTGATATCAGAGAGGAGTCACTGTGCTTATCCAAAAGATCAATTTACTGTTCAGATATTCACACATTAGTCTCCAATGGATACAAATTTTATGAGCAGCCAGGGTTCATTGTGATATGTGTTTTGTTTTTAGAATAATGAAATATAGCTGGACTTTAACTTGCTTGTGATCCCTTAAATGTATTAGTTCCCAACATTATTCTTTGTTGAATCACTATTTTGTGTTGGTGGATGCCAGTATTGTAGTTTTATTGTGAACCTGCTCAGTTTCCACAAAAAAAGTCTAATCGGCATATTACAGTGAGACTCCAGTTTCATCAGCAAATAAAATCTCTCTCCAATGTACATTCAAAGAATGATTCATTTTTAGTAAATGTTTAGTCCTCTTATTGGATGAGCATGACACTGCCTACACAAAATTATGTTGGTGTGTCTAGACCAGGGGTGTCCAAAGTCCGGCCCGCGGGCCAACTGCGGCCATTTTTAATTGGCCCGCAAGTAATTTTATAAACAGAATAGAATATGGCCGCACTTCAACTTTTGCTGGAGTGTATTGCACTTCTTAGTTTTAACACCAGGGGGAGCTACTGTTGATCAAGGCAGTTGCTCCACCAAAAAGGACAATCACAGAAGAAAT